GAGCTAGGCGGGGTTAGTGACCAAAGTGCAGAGCCGGGAAAGTTTACAGCTGGGTTTTGCTTTGGTTTTGCTTTTTTGAGACAGGGTCTCACTATGTAGTTGAGACTGACCTGGAACTCGCTATGTAGCCCAGGCTGGTCTTGAACTCACAGCGATCCTCCTGCCTCAGCCTCCCGAGTGCTGGGATTCCAGCTGGGTTTTAATGAGTTATCTTCTAGCCAAGTGTCACGTCACACTCCTGTAATTCCAGGACTCCGGGAGGCAGAGGCGGGAGGATCTCAAATTTGAGGAAAGCATGGACAACTTGGCAACTTAGTGAGACCCTGCCTCAAAATAAAAAAATGAAAAAGGGCTGGAGAAGTGGCTAAGCGTGAAGGCCCTGGGTTCGATTCGCAGTATCAAGAAGAGAAAGTGTGCTCAGCTGGCTTGAGGAGTCTCCTCTCCGTACATCCACCAGACACAGTTGCCAGTGCCCGTAGTCCCCTTGGCACCAGCTTAACCCTCAATGCTGGTGTACAGAGTCATCAGCGGCCAGCTCCACTGCTTTTTTTGAGACAGGGCTTCACTATGTAGCCCAGGCTGGTGTTGAATTCACAGTGATCCTCCTGCCTCAGCCTCCCAGTCCAGCTATTACATGCACGTGCCACCCTGCCTGGTTTTTTCCATTGTTCTTTAGGTTCCTTTCCTGGGTATCTGCATGGAGAAGCTCAGGCTTCAGAAAGGCTTTCTGTGGTCCAGCTGCCTAGTTCTCTCCATCTCTCTGCCAAGTTCCTTCTGGCCCTTCTGGGAAGAGGCTGCTGCATGCTCTCTGGCAGGGCTGCCCAGAGCAGCCACCTGCTTTCCTGGTGTAGAAACAGAACTCTGGAGATGGCAGTGCTGCTCACGATCAAATAAGGCTGCTCTGAGAGCTCTCATTCTGCAAGCCTTGGGCGGTGATGGAAGAGGCTGTGCCCTCCTGGGTCTCCCCTGCCTGGCGATGACTCACACAGCACCCAACGCCAGGGACAGGTTTGCCTCTTGGGCGACTTGCTGGCAAAATGGAGTTGGCGTGGTTGCATTGTGGGGACAGATGCTGCTGCAGGCCCAAGCTGCCTTTCACACAGAGGGGCTCAAGCATTTTAAATGACGGACTGATGGATCTCGACCTCCAGAAAGCACAAGAGTTATTATCTTCATTTTATAAATAGGTCACAGGTCACACACTCAGCTGGTGGATGCGGGACACACACGTAGGAATTCCACCCTCAAGCCCTCCAGAATCACTGACAGACCCGAATTCTGCTCTCTTGACTCTGGCCAGAGGCATGGGATTGGCCTTTGTGTGTTTCCACTTAAAGGTCCGAATTCTATGTGTGGTTCATAAGCCTTTGATAATGTCTGGAATTCATCACAGAAAGAGAGAAGAATGATATTTGATGCTTTTCAGAGAGGTATTGGTACTAAGCTTTATATTGTGGGTCAAATGCCAATAAAAGGATGGAAAAAAAAGAAAGAAAAAACTCGGTCACCAGATCTTTAGGAGGCTCACTTTTATTCTTTCTCTGAAAGAACTTCCAGTTAAAAGTAAGCAACAGTGTATCTTTAGGGACCAGAATAATTGTTGTGAGGACACTGAAAGTCCCCACTTATTGAGAGCCAAGGATGTGCTAAGCCAGGGCTTTGCTTCCAGATCTGTTATGTCACGTGATTCTCACACAGCCTGTGAGGTTTTATTAATCACTTATTTTATAGATAATCTAACCAGCCTCAGAGACACTGGATGATGTGAAGAAAACAAGGGTGGGGAGAAGGAGAAATCATAAAGAATATTAATTAATGAAATGCTATTGGATGTATATTCCAGGCAGCTGGTTAGCCAGGTGTGGTGGCGCACACCAGCATTTGGGAGGCAGAGGCAGCAGGATCACCGAGGGTTCAGGGCTAGCTTAGACTACATAGCAAGACACTGTCTCAGACTGTATTTTGTGGTGACAGGTGTTAGAGATATAAAGATAAATAAAATATCACCAACTTGAGGGGACCATTGTATGGGAAGCTGAGGATGAGAGAGCACAAAGCAAACATTAAAACAAACAAACAAGTGGGAAGGGAAGGGGAAAGGTAATAAGGGAAAAGAAAACAATAGGAGAAAATGAAAAAATGGAAATAAAGTGTTTGTCAATGGGGAGGAAAAGAGGGGGTGAAGGGAGGGCAGGGACGAGGGGAAAAATGAGAACCAAGACCTGTCGTGTAAAGGTATAAGATCCCAATAATGAATGTAACTGTGTATACCTAAAATGTACCAATAAACTCAATAAAAAACCAAAGTAATGTCAATTGTCACTGTATTTGAGTCCAGAGTATTTATTGAATTCCTGCTATGTGTTAAACAGTGTATTAATTGCTAGCAAAGGCCCTTCTTTTCGTAGTGTTCATAGTCTAGTAGAAAGTCAGACATTAAACCAATACTCACACCAACTCAACATTGCAGTTGAATGGAATAGAAGACACCAGATGGGCCACTGCCTGACCACAGATTAATATCCAGAATATATAAAGAACTCCTACACATGATAAGAGACAATCCAATAGAAGCACTGTCAAATAAACCAAGAGGCAACTTGAAAAAGAGGCAAGGCAAATGGCCAATAAACAAAGAAAGTATGCTCCTGCTCTCTCACTTGTAAACAGGGAATTGCAAATTAAAACACTGAAATGCCATTTCCCACTCATCAGCTTGGCAACAATTTTGAAGTTTGACATTACCAAGTGTTGTTGAGGATGTGGAACACGGGAACTCTCATATATTGCTGTGGAACTGTGAATTAACGGGAACTCTCATATATTGCTGTGGAACTGTGAATTAGTACAACCACTTTGAAAAACCACTTAGCCATGCTGAGTACAGCTGCCAATTTGTCTTGAACCCAGTATATCCCACACTCAGGCATCTACCCAGAAGGTTCACTTTCACACAACACAACAGTATAAAAAATAGTAATTGTATAGCATTGTTTCCAACAAGGAAAAAAAGTGAAAATAAGCTGACTATCCTCCAGAAGGAGACTGGTAAATAAAGTATACTGAACTCATATAATGGAGCCCAAATCAGCAGGGCAAATGTATGATCGAGAACTACATGTATCGATGTAGATACATTTAGAAATCATACTGCTGAGGCTGGGGGATTTAGCTCAGTGGTTCGGACACCTGCCTCGCAAGCGCAAGGTCCCAAGTTCAATCCCCAGTACCAAAAAAACAAAAGCAAAAACAAAACAACACGAAATCATACTGCTGAGTGAAAAAGTCACACAATTATATATTCAGTACGATGCCATGCCATCTCTTCAAATTTAAAAAACACGCCAAAACGCTTCCATAAAGTACTTTCAGGCACAAAGCTATGTCGTAAAAACACAAAAGCATAGAGGGAGTTGACGAACCCCAAAGGTTTAGGAGTGTTTCCTAGAGTGGGGGACGGAAGTGAGGTCAGAGGACCCGGTCTGGATCTGGAGGGTGTGATGCCCTGGTATAGAAGGGGAAACGTTAAGTCGTGACGAAGAGGGGAATACATGAGGGCTTATATTCTCCATAGCTTTGCGTGCTTTCATTTTTTTTAGCATCAGCACTTTGACCTATCCAAGGAGGACCGGAGTGGTTGGGGCGGGTGGATCTGGACAATGAGGAGGAAATGGTGCTGACAGGATGAGTGTGAATAACTGAGTAGGTGAGGAAGCGGGGAAAGTTGTTCGCAGTGGAGAGAACAGCCTGTACCAAGACCTGGGGTGGAAGAGGGACGGCGGAGGCCTCCTCGATGCCCAGACCGCAGAGGAAGGGGTGGAGCGGGGGAGCCACGGACCACAGGCCACCCCGAAGGTCACGTCCCTCAGAGGTGACAGAATCAGCGGAGCCCAGAGCCTCTTCTCTCGGCCAGAAGTGGGGGGGGGGTCCCCAGCGGGCGACTCACCCCTCAGGTTCAGGAGGATGAGGAAGGGGAAGCCATTTGGGGGGAGGGAAGGAGGTGCAGATTCGCCGGGGGGCTCCCAGCGGCAACAAAGACGCGAAGCTCTCGGCGAGCACGGCCCCCAGCGAACTCGCTCGGGAAGGTGTCGGGAAAGGACTGGCTGAGCGGGTCGGGGGCGGCAGGGCTGGGTCGCCGGCTCGGGCCCATCCGGACCGGCGGGGAGGAA